GCATCCCGAGACTCTGGAAACCAGGATGGGGCTGTCTGTGGGGGCTCATAGCCTCTTTCGGAGCCAGTCCGAGCCCCCCTCCTCATCTGTTCCTAGTACTGACCTTCATTCTATGTCCCCCCAACACACACATTCGCACACTTGCACACTCACGTGCTTTCCCTCTATAGCCAGCAGAGGCTTCTCGCTTCCATCAGTGGCTCGACTTTCCCAGAAGAGAGCCCATCAGCTCTGCGGGGAAAGAGGTGGGGAGGAGTGGAGAGAGAAAAGAGATGGGGGCAGGGAGAGGAAAAGAAGGAAGGAACCTGGAGCAGGTGGAAGAAGCAGGCTGAAGGAGAAAAGGAAAAAAAAAAAAAACTATTGAGAACCAAGGTGACTGGAGAACCCAAAGGAAGGAAGGAAAAGGGATCAAAAGACCCTCTTGGCAGTGCTTCACATACCCCCTCCCACAACTCTCCAGGGCCTCCCCTGCCCCTCTGGATTCTCCTCAAATCCCTTGCCTTCATCTTTTCAGACTGTTGCATTACAGGCAGTAGTGGGATGGGGAGGGGGTCACGTCACCTTGAATGAATCAGAGAGATGTGTCAGACATCTGCAGGGGGGAGCCAAGGGGGCTGACTGACGGGAATAAGAATTTAAATGCAAGAAGATGGGAGACAGGCACCTAGACACATTCTGTAAACCCTTGGTTTGTACATGTGTGTACATGGTACCTGTGTGTGTGTGTGTGTGTGTACATGTGTGTAAAGGCTCCTGATATGCCTCTCAGCTTCTTTCTGTATATGTGTACAGAAATTAGAAAGACCCATAGTGGGGAAGAAAAAGAAAGGGCATGAGGGGAACAAATTGTGTGTTGCATCAGATTGAGAGTGGATGGTCATGGCACTGTTTTCCATTTAAATAGGGGCTCTTCTCTTCCAAGGCATGTGACTGTTTCTGCCCTTTTCCAGTTATCTGCATAGGTTCTGATTTCTTTGGGATGCCTGTCCACCTGGGCAACTTTGAGTCTTTGCACCCAATTCTGGGTTACCTGTTGGTGTCTGAAAGGTATGCCTGGCTTGGTGGTGCCCCAGAATGGGTGTATATGTATGTGTGTCTTTGTGCATTTATCTGGGTTCTTCCATGCTGGTGATTATGTGGGCTTCCATGTGCCTTGTTCTTTCTTGCCCCTCCCCCTATTTGTTTCTAGATCTCTATGCCATAAAGCTTCAGAATCCAAGTTACTTATCTGCTGTCCCCAAGTTGTGGGTCCTTGTCCCTGGTTTTCAGAGCATTCCCCACTCCTCCATTTCACCCAACCCCACACCCCTCCATGCCTCCACTTACTCCCAGGGAACCCTCTCAGACATCAATATCCCAGAGCCTCAGCCGTCGTGGGGTAAGGTATGGAGGAGACAAGGTGGAAACTCAGGCACCAAAGGCAATAGGCTTGGTGATTCCATTATCTGAATCTTGACGGTGTGGTCTCTGGACTGTGGATCTGCCTCTCACCCCCAGGTTTCCTACCTGGGTCAGCTCATTCACACATCTTCACCTCCCTGGAATGAGCTCCCTCTAGGAGCTTCTGGAAGAGATATGGATTAGGGACAGGTTCCTGGGATCAGGGAGAGGAGGAAAATGGCAGGAAAGAAAGAGAAATGGAGAGGAAGCTAGAAAAGGCAGAGCTAAGATGGGGATGCCTGGTGTTTGCTCTGAGTGGTTTGTATGAATCCATCTCTCTTTATCTTTGTTTCTGATTCTGCCATACTCCCCAGGAGGATAGAAGGAGAAGATGGGGTTCAGCAAAGTAGTGATCCAAAGCTGAAGGTTTGGAAAACCAGGGGGTTGGGGCAAAGCATTGAGTCTTTTCCCTGAAAAATCTGGGAGAGAAAGAAAGGGCAGGGGCTCAGGGCCCTTGCAGTTCATCATCCCCTTCTTCCCCTCCCCCTCCCCCAACCGGTGACTCACCTCTGCAGCCTTTCATTGCGTCAGCCATATGGGGGGACAGGCAGAGAAGGGGCATTTATGAGAGGGCAGGGGTCTCCACTTTGAAGTGAAAGGAGGTGCTGAAGACCCCTTGATAATGGCCCCATTTAGAATACATACATTATTGCCCTACTCCCTAGTCACTCCAGGGGTGGGAAGTCCAGGGAAGGGGCTGGGGAGAGGGCTGGGGGCCACTGGAGGGTCTGGAGTGATGAGCAATGGGAAGGGGATGCTCACCCTGATTTTTAATCCCAGGGTCTCATTCTTCAGACCCCCACCCATTTCTGAATGGGGGAGGGGAGACCCTGCAAACCGGGGGAGGCAACGCCGCAGAGATGAGTCACCAAGAAATGGAAAAAGAGAAAGAGACAGAGATGGGGAGAGACACAAAGAGAGACAACTCCTGGAGAGAATGAGAAAAGGACACACACACACACACACACACACACACACACACACACATACACAAACATCACGAAGGTGGCATCCACAAACTAACAAGAGAAAAGAAATTGTGCACGTCCATAATCATGATCCAGCCCCCTCCATAATCATGATCCACCTGTCACACACACAACACACTGTCATATAGAGTTACACTAAAATTCTGAGACACACCCACTTAACAAACACAATGTCACACCTAGCTTAGCACAGTCACTCAGACTTAATGCTGAGGGTTTGTCCAGAGCAATTGAGAGCCCTCATTCCTCTTACAGAGTGGCAGGAAGGGGGTCAAAACCCTCAAGAAATGTGACTTCAAAAATCGAAGACGCATTTTCAGGGACTTAAAGTCTGCACCGTACACACGCGACAATATACACAAGTCGCCTGCCTCCCCGTCTACACGTACATAGTAACATATCAAGCATTGTCTACATCAAGAAGCCACCTGGGGTACCTGTTTCTGGGGGTACACCAGGTATGTTGTCCCGAATGCATCCACCCAGACACCCCCTGGCTTGTATACATAGGTACAGAAACGCAGACACACAAAGACGCCCATGGACACACTCACACGGACGGAAACCACCTTGCGATGCCTCGCCCGCGTCCGCACTTGTCCTGGCGCCCCCGTGTGTTACTTTTCGGGATCGCAGTCTCCGCCGCTCTGGAGCTCCGCTCCCGGGGGAGTGGGGGCGGTACCCAGGCTCCTTCCACCTCCTCCCCCAACCACGCGTTGCCCACCCAGAAATGGGGAAAGCGAGCGCGGCTGGAAAACGAGTCGAGGGATGGGAGTTAGGCGCTTGGATCCTGCTGTTGAGAGAGGCCGTTCCTGGATGCCAAGATGAACTTGGGAGACGATCCCACAGAATTTGGGTAGCAGCCGACTTCCAGGTCTAGGGGAAAGCGAAGCCCAGGCTTAGTCCGGCGCTGCATCGCAGCCCGCCTGGGTTCTGAGCAACCGCTTCTTTCCTCCGCTTGGTGGAGGTGGGGGCGCACAATGGCCAGCAGCCCTCCCCAGCTTCCCCCCACACACCAGGAAGTCATTAGCCCCATTGCCACGGGGCTTAGAGATCCTCTCTAATACAGGCTGCTGGGGAAGGGGGGAAGATAATATGTTACATCCCTCCCCACTAAGAAGAAGAGAAACACAAACAAGGGGTGGGCAAAAGGTCCATTTTATTGCCATACGGCCATGGTGGAAATGGCAAGGAAGGGGCAGGAGGCAGCCAAGGCAGAGCAGCGTAGCCACAGAGCTGGAGCTGTGAATAGTGACAGTAGCTGTTCCCTTTGCCCACCTTTTCCCACCCACTGGCGCCCTCCTCTGCCCACATCTTGGATTCCATCCCCAGCAAACCCCGAGCTGGATCCACACTTCCCTAGCAACTGTCCACTGTCCAACAAGAAGTCCAGAGCTAATACCAACACACAGAGCAAGGTTCTGGGCATGCTGTGGCCTTGGTAAACCTGGTTCTAGGTCCAGCTATTGACGGGACTTCAAAGAAGTCACTTGGATCCTTCTAAGCTGTTTCCTTCTTCTGACTTTGGTGTGGGATCCAGTATAGGAGACAGCACTGTACAAATGCAGTGGTTAATACTTGCATTTATACAGAAGACTCTCAAAGTCTAAATAGCATACATAATCCAGAGGAACAGTGTGCAGAAGTACAGGGAGGTGGGGGTTCCAGTTCTAGAAGGTAGACTGGTTGGAATCTGAAAAACCCTATGCCAGGTTGAGGGACAGCCCCTAGGCCAGGTTTGGTTGCACCAGTTTCTGGCTGGACCCTCTAGTTAGTTGGGGACCTTAGGAAAGAACCCTGGAGAAATAACAACATCATTCCAGTTTGAAGCAAAACCCAGCCAGTGTGGCAAGCTGAGGAAAGCACACCACCAAAAGTAAACAGGATCCCAAGTGGGGGATCATTATAAATATATTTTATTTACAACCTCTCTCTCTGGTAATGGGGAAGGGAACAGAAGAAAAAGGGGGGAGGAGCAGAAAAACTGGTGTTTAGGAGCTAAGTGACAGGAATGTCCAGGGAGGAAGAAAATGGGGGTGACAGAAGCAGGAAAAGGACACTAATCTAGAAGACAGAGGGGCCAGTGAGGAAGAGCGCCCTGGGCCAGTTCTGAAGCTTCAGAAGGGGAAGAGGAAGAGAAAGAACATGGCTGTGTCCCCCGCTGGGACCTGGGCATCACACACAATGCTGCCACTTCCATCTGATGGGTACAGAAGGGAGAAGCCAGGATTCATGGGAAGATGGACAGGGCTCTGAAGGGATCCATCATTCTTGGAAGAGAAGGGAGTGGGTAATAGCGAACAAAGGGGCTCCCCCATCTTCAGAGGTTCAAGTCTGGAGTGGGAAAGAGCATTGGGGGGAGCTAGGAGATGGCCCAGTTGAGAAAAGGGAAAGGGAAAAAAAAAACATAAGAGAAAAGGGAAAGGGGAGGACCTATATGCCTTAAGGTAGGGGGCCAGAGCCAACTTCTGAGGGGGGCGGAGCTTGGAAATGGTAGGCACGGGCTGGCTGGGGATTTGAGGAACGAAGCAACACTGAGTGCTTCTCCACTTTTCTCTGGGAAGAGAAGCCTCACGTGTCGGCCTCCAGCTGGTATTGTTCCATATAACTCTGGACCAGCCCAAGCCCCAGGCCTGGCAGAAATAAGCCAGCTGTGACCACAGCTGGGGCGTCAGGAAGAGTTGGCACAAGACGTAGAGGCCGGTGAGGGTGAGACAGGCGCTGCAGGTGCCCCAGCAGCTGGCTCTGCACCTGCGCAATGTGGCTGCCAAAGCAGTAGATGTGGAGGGAGCGCCACCGGCGGTCCCCGCCTTGCGGGGTAGGGAAGGGGCTCCTGCACAGCGTGAGCTCGAATGGGCGCGCCACTCCAGGCCTTTGGCCGCCAGAAGGCCTAGGTTGCTTCTTTTGGGATGGTAGGGCTGCGGGTCCAGTCCCTCCCGAAGCACTTCGCGTTGCACGGAAGGCGACAGAAGACGTGCCACTTCACCGCCTGCCTTGGACACGGCCTCCGTGGCAGTGGCAACAAGGTGCCAGAGGCCTGAGGAACCGCCAGCTGGGCGCCCAGGCCCTCCAGCAGCGCCAACGCGTTGAACCAAAGCAAAAGGATCCCCTGTGGGGTCACGAGTGAGCACGTGGCGGAGGCGGGGCNCTGTGGGGTCACGAGTGAGCGGGGGGGGGGGGGGGGGGGGGGGGGGGGGGGGTCGCTGGAGAGTCAGGCTTCTCTGCATCTTCACTCCACACTCGCGCCTACCGGCTCCCAGTTGGGCCCTTTGGGAGGACCGACTGGGTCCAGGCAGGTAGCAGGGATGGCCAGAGGCGATGGCTCTGAATACCTGGATCCCCAACRAGAGGCGAGAGGCGGGATCAGTATGGAATAGCCCTGAGACCTGGGGTGTGGGTCTTTGGACACCCGAGGGGAGTGAAACCAAGGAAAGCAAATCAATAAGTAAAATGCGAGCGGCCGAGAGGGAGGGAAAGGGCTCGAATTGGGATGTCTGGGCCAGTGAAGGGTATCAGGATCCACGTAGGGGAGGCCGGGTCACGGAAGTCGGGAAGTAAGGACTAACGGTTTGGGGCTGGGAGTGGGAAGTGGACTGTAAACGCACCCCCAGTGGAGTCCCCGCGCTCCGTGCTCCTCAGTCCTTCTCACCTGCTTGGTAATTAGCGGTATTCCTTCAGCTCCTGGGCCCGAGCTGGTAGTTTCGAGTGAGTCGTGCCACCTTGACCCTCCACTGCTGTCGTTTGACCAGCTGTGAGCAGAAGCGCTGCAGAAGCCGGGCCACGCTCTTGCTGCGCTCCCAGGGCGCCAAGCGCAGCCCCTCCACCAGCGTCGATCAAGTTCACCGACTCCAGCGGGGTCTGCGGACTAAGGTCGTCAGGGGGTACCCCACTCCCGTCTCCGCCAGGCCCCTYGCTACAGGACTCTCACACTCATTCTTCCTTTATCACTGTCCCAGTACCAGGCCAGACCCGGGAGGCCCTGGGAACTCTCCTGAGCACTTAGGTCTCAGATTCCTGAGGGGGCAGAACAATCGGGGGCTCTTCCAGCTCCGCTTGCAAAACGTCCCAGACCGCTCGCCACTCCCTTTTCTTGGCTCCATCCCCAAGAGCTTGTCACACCCTTTAGCCCTTAGCTCGAATACAGCTTCCCCTTCGCTGCTCTACAGCCCCAACTCTGTTGGTGCTGCCCTGAGCTTCCAGGTAGATCCTTTGGGCCAGATTGCGTCTATTCACAGGTCCTGGTCCCAGTCTAGCTGCTCCCACCTGTAGGCTACTTTCTCTTGTTTGCCCCCTTCTTTTTGTTTTCCCGTCCCCAGAAAGTCTCAATGGGATCCTCAAACTGTCACAGGTCCCTTTGGTTCCTTTGCTGTATGGACTTCTTCCCCCACGTTACCCTCACTGACCTAGCCCCTAGACCCGCATGTCCTAGGCCTTGGTCCCCAAACTGGCTATATTTTCTCAGTAAATGGACGAGGGATGAGGAAAAGYTGGCCTAAGATCCAAACCCTGAAACTTGGCTTCATCTCTTTTCATCCAGGCCCCGCCCCTTTCATCACACCCCCATTTCCCTTGGCTTGCACCTCCAGGAGAGATTGATCCTGGGGCCAGCTGTGGTACCCATTCAGGAGGTAGTTCAAGCCCCCCCGGAGATGCACCCCCTTGCTCACCCCGCCCATCGACAGATGGCCAGCACCTCTCAAACTCCCATTCTGTAGCCACCACGAAGTCCAACAGTCAGCCTCTGCCTCAGGTCATGATCTGGTCCTGGGCTCCGCCCCCAAGAACTTGGCCTGGGCTTCATGCCCTGGATCAGCCCTTGGAGGCTTGGTCTCAGCCTCAAGCCCTAATCTGGACCTGGAGTTGGCCTGGGTCTCCTGTGGCTGGACTTTGGAGATCATCTTCACATCTGGAGCAGAATCTTTTTCTGGGTTAGGGACCTCCAATGTGCCTATGGCCCAGTTGGCTTCCAGCTTCACGTCACTACAGGAGAGAACCCAGCACAGGATCAGAGACCCATGTTTCCCATATCAGATTCCCTACACAATGTCCCAGTAACCCCTTCCTACACACATACTCGTTTTTTTTCTGCTCCCTGCATTGACCCTGGTCATGGAGGACTTTCAAATCCTTTCCTCTTCCCACTAGCTCCCAGTCTCAGTTCTACCTGATCCACCCTTACCAGGATGTCCTTAACAGTCACAAACTCAGGAATCCCTAGTGAGTTCCCCAGAGACTAGCCCCAGATCCTCTTTGTGCCCAATCAGCTCCTAGGGTGACCTGGGCAGAAGGTCAGGAGGGTGGAGACCCCAGATCTCCTTCACAGTACTGCTCCAGTGTACTACCCTAGCCCCCTGACATACACACTGGAACCTGGCAACTGAAGTGTACAGACGGACAGCTGCTTTAGAATCAATGCCATTTCTCCCAGGCCAATCAACCTCCCCGCTTTACTTTGTCTTCTTTGAAATTATTCTGCCTCCCCATGGTGTGACTTTGGCTCCAACCCAGGGCTCAATGGTGATTTTGAAATAGGCAGTGTAGGTCCAGCAAACAAAACACTCACATGATCACATGGGCCCCTCTGCCTGTTCACTTCCCCTCCAAAGACAGAAGGGCAGAGCCCCTCCCCCCTCTCTCTGCTCTCTCTTTTTAAAATCTCTAGCACCATCTCCTACCCAGGAATTTCTTTGCCCTTTCCATTCCTCAAAGTCCTTCATTTGGGTCAACCCCTTGTGGATCCAACACTCTCTTCTATTTTCCCTGCCTGGAGACAGAGCCAAAGAGAAAACCCCCTGCCCACACATCCTGATGACTCCTGATTCCAGATCTGTCTCCTCCAAATCAAGCCAACCAATCAAATCCTCCATCCTCTCACTTTCAGCCAATTATAACACTCTCTCATATAACCTAAATTAAAGTTCCACTAACCAACCTACCAGGGGACACAGACCAGATACTCTGTTGGGAATAATGATGGCTTGGCTGGATTTTTTTAAAACAAAGCATAGCCAACCAAGTGTGGTGGCTCATGCATGGCTGTAATCCCAGTGAACTGGGAGGCTGAGGCAGAAGGATGGCAAGTTCAAGGCCATCTTCATCTATTTGGCAAGACCCTCAGCAACTTAGGGAGGCTCTGTCTCAAAATTAAAAAATAGAAAGGACTGGGGATGTACCTTAATGGCAAAGGGCCCTTGGTTCAATTTTTAGTACTAAAAATAAAACAAACCAAAAAAAAAAAAAAACATGTTGGGGAACTATAGGGTAATTGGGAGGTGGCTTTAAGCTCCTATGCCATAGATACAGCCTGTGTAAACACTTGCTATACACACAGAGCTTCAAAAAGGAGATCTCTGTCTTCCTCTTTCTTTTCCAGTTCTTTCTAATCTGATTTCAGTGCTTAAGGCTCTCCACAACATCAGGCCAGCATTCAGAGGGAAGGGGAATCCAGRTTCAGAGGTTTTAGAGCACCTGCAAGGGCCATTACTGACAGGGAGGCTCAACACTTTCCTTTCCTGGGGCTGGGATATGGCTCAAGCGGTAGCGCACTCGCCTGGCATGCGTGYGGCCGGGGTTCGATCCTCAGCACCACATACAAAGATGTTGTGCCAGCCGGGGAGATCTCTTTTGGTGTAACTGGGTCACAAAACCTATCCAGAGAGTGAGGAGAGGAAATACCAGGAGTCAGAGGTCCCAAGTGGTCTAAACTGATCTAGAACCAGAGATGGGATTGTGGGGGCAGGGGGCAACAATTGCTCCCCTACCCACTGCCAGCAACTCTATACCAGCACACAGATCTACACACCCAGGAACCACCTAAGTGCCAGGCTCTGGGGACACGGGTCCTGGATATGCACAGGTTAGTTCCTGGCTCCTATTTGCATCTCCAGACAACCTGAGCTAGTCATTCCTGCGTCCTTGGGAAGTACAAGCTGCTGATTCGATGGTGACTCCAGCAATACTCCACTGTCCACTAGGGGGAAAAGCTTGAGCAACTTGTACCTGGAACCCGTCTGTCTAATTCAAGACWTTAGGCTCCATTCCCTCTCTTGCTTTCAGAATGGAGAGACTCCAGGGGCGGAAGAGCCTCCTGTAAATAACTGTTCTACATCTCAGATCAGGCGGTTTGGGTGAGGGTGGGAAAGTGAGAAGTGAGGGTGGGGAGCTCCTGAGGTCACAGGGAACAAGGAAGACTTTCCAATCCTTCCCTCTTCTTCCTTTTCCAGATCCTCCCTCTACCCTTGTTCCTTTGTGGGGGACATAAACAAAGGTTTCAAGGTCTCTAGACCTTGAGGTGAATACTGAGAGCAAAGTAGATCAGGGGTTTCAGGACAAACCAAACTGTGGGCTGACCCCATAATTCTTTTTATTTTTTTTATTTTTTTTTTTTTTTGTACTGGGAATTAAACTCAGGGGCACTTAACCAGTGAGTTCAAAATATTTTTTAAAATATTTTATGTTAATACTGTGTCTGGCTGACTTGCTTAGGGCCTCCCTAAATTGCTGAGACTGGCCTTGAACTCACAATCCTCCTGCCTGAGCCTCCTAAGCCACTAGGATTACAGGTGTGCACCACCACACCCAGCTGGTCCCATAAATCTTGCTCCCTTCTCTTTCCACCCCCCAGCACAGCACCCTGTAACCTGGCACTCTGAAACTAACTTCCATAATGTATCCAGGCAGAGGCAGAGGCAATCCCATGCCCCCAGGACACTGTGGGAAATGTAGTTCAGGAAAGTCCTGAACCAAACTCCAGGAAGGGGGGCATCCTCCCTCATCCCACCTCCTTGGGGGCATTCCTTTAATCTCAAAAATATAAATGATTGCTCCAAGGAAGTGGGTGATGGGAGTCAGTACTGGGCATGCTGGGAGCTCACCCTCCACTCCACTTTCACCGACCCCTCCCCACCTGAATTATTAGTGCCTTTGAAGCTGATGGCTTTTCAGAACTATGGGAAGAAGGTGTCCGAGGGAAGGGAGGAAAGATGCAGCAAGGCGGAGACAAAGAAGGCAGCTACACAAAGAGCCCAAAGATGAGAGGGAAGGGAAACAGATAGGAGACAAAGGGCGCCAGGAGATGCGGGGCTAGAGAGAGGGAGCCCCAGGAGGTTCCCACCGGGAATCAAACGTGACACCTGATTCCAGGTAAGGAGAAAAGAAAAACTCTTAGCAGGGCACTGCCTTCCCAGGGGACCATAAATAGAAATCGTGACACACCCACTTCTTCCCAGGGTGTCTTGGGGAGGGGAGGATATGAGTCAAGAGGAGGATAAAGTCAGAAGAGGCTGGGAGAGAACACACGGAACGCCGAGAAGAGGGGACAGCACGAAGCGGGGAGGGCTGGAAAGTGCCCGGAGCAGAGGCAGGGGACCAGAACGACAGCTCAGCGAGTGGGGGAGGGGTTTGTCCCAGGGGGCGGCAATCCGGGAGGAGGGGGCCGGGCTGGAGAGTCTTCTCGGGTGAGGGTCTGGCCTCCTCCCCTTTCCGGGAGGGAGAACTTGAAGTGGAGCAGGCGGGAGGGAGATTCCGAGGGAAGCAGTCTACTTGGCAGGGGTCCCCCTGGCATTGGACCCTAAGGACAGGTGGGAGCCGAATGGCGACGGAGGACAGTTGGGAGGGATGAGGGAACAGAGCCTTGGGACACCTGAGGCGAAGTCTTCCTCTAGTTATCTAGGTCACCTGACAGGGAGGGGTTGGGCCGCTGGGGGCGCGGTCGCTTTGTCCCCTGGAGGGCGGTGGCCTTCTGCTGTCCCAATTCAGCGGTCGAGGAGCAGGCCAGCTCCCTGGCCCCGGCGCAGTGCTGCCCTACCTGCGGGAACCCGGGGCGCGGTGCTGAGACGCGCAGGTGGCCCGCGGCGCGGAGTGGGGGCCACTAGGCGCCCCGAGAGTCAAGGGCGGAGGAYGCGCCGGGACTGGGCCGCGCCGTCGGATCCCGACTGGGACTTCGAGTGCAGACGCCGGGTCTGGGCCACAGCTCAGCGCAGGACCGCTGATCAGGGTTCGGGTGGCGCGTGCGTCTCCCGGGGCGACGCTCCGCCGCTGCCGCCGCGGCCCGGCGGCTCCGAGGGGCGGAGATCCCAGCGCCGCGGAGGAAACCCGGGACGGATCTGGAGCGGACTCCAGCCCAGCCCGGGACTCGCGGAGCGGGGAGACCTGGGGCAGTGTGGCCGCGGCAGCCGGTGCCGGGGGTGGCAGTGCAGAGTGCCCACCAGACCCCGCCTCAGGTCCGCCTGAAGAACGGGCCAGGGGGCGTCGGGTGACTTGGGTTTGCGCCGAGAGTTGGTTTCTGACTTAGTGGTCACCCCGCCCCACAGCATCTCTATGTGGGTCCAGGAGTCCCCAAGGGCCCCAAAGTCGCGCTCCTCCAAGGGCCACCCTCTCTACAGAAAGGCTGCAAAGGGATCAAAAAAAAAAAAAAAAAAAAAGCTGAAAAGCCCTGAAACAAGAGACCTGAAGAGGCAGAAGTTGTGAGGCTGATCAGAGCTGAGCAGGGCCAAGACTTCTGGATCCTCTCAGCACTGTGGGGTGGCGGTGGGGAGCAGCCCTGTCCCCCTAGGTGCACAGGGCCCTAGCAGACCCTGTCCCCATCTCTTCTCTCCCTGGCTCAGGCCTAGGCCCTCTTAGGGTAGCACCATAAAGACTTCCAGGTGCACCATGGAAACTAGACCAAGCGCACCTG